TAAATCATCCCTGGAATATTTTGTTTTTAGTCATTGCCAAGCTCAGGCATAATTGATTTCAGATATTTAGTTTTAAAATCAAGAAGTTTGCTCATTATTTGGTCAACTATGTTACGGACAAAACCTATAAGTTTTAACTTTAAGTAAATGGCAGACATTTAAAAAAAATCATTACTCTTGGAAGAATATGTGTCTATTTACCTACCTTTTCAATTAAAATACCCAATTAATTAAGAAAATACACATTTTGTTCAATTGAAACCCCAAATTTCAAGTACTGAAGTAACAGGTCTATATATTTTGTTTCCAAACTGCTTAATACATGATAATTTTCTTGATGAAATTATGCTGAGGTATATATTTGACAGCTACTCAGTTTCTAAATATTTACTTTGAGATTAGGGAACCATTGAAATACATATATTTTTTTAAAAACATAATGGTAACTTAATTGACAGCCCAGTATCATAGTTGACAAAAGTAACATAGTTGACTGGACATGACAAAGTAGTTTGATGTATTTAACAAAAACATTCCTAAACTATATCAATTATTATGTTAGCTAATCTTTTATTGCATTCAATCAAGACATGTTGAATATTTCATGACATAACGGAGAAATACAGACGCACATCAGTTTACAAGGATCAATCACAACTTTATTAACAAGTACATATATATCATTAGCAAGAGATCCTAACATAGAAAACAACAACAGCAAAAGTATCAAAAACAGCACTTACACAAAAATTCCACCATGTAAACATTTTGAAAATCTTGTTTGTGGAATGAAATACAGTAGTGCATTGTATTGAACAAAAAATAATAGTGCACTGCAATTAGTAACAATAACCCAATAGTGTTTTATTTTGTTGGTTAACAGAATAAGTGTGCTGCATTGGATAAAAAATTTAACAATTTTAACAGTTGTATCACAAAAACATTCACATGTCAGAACCCAAGTAAAATATTGGGTTCTGACAAACCACAGTGTTTTTGGGGCTTAAAAATGCAACAAAGTGAAACCACCCTCCAGAGTGGAAATCTTAAAAACGCTCCACCGCCGTGTTCCCGCGTAAAGGGTAAAAACGCGAAAGTCTGCTTGACAGTGAAGGTTGTACCCAGGCGCGCGGGCTTGGTGTTGTTGTAGTATGCACTCCAAGCCGCCTGGAGTGCATACTACATTGAATTTTACACACTTTTGCGTCACCATTTGCACGCGGATTTACCACCCAAAATGCTCGTCTAAATGCAGAATAGAATCGTTTCCATGTACGTAAACATGCCTTAGGCCCTGCGGGCCCATGCCTTAGGCCCAGATATTTCCCTGTGGATTGGCCTCTCGTTTACACGAAAACCCAGTTTTTATCACAGAAAACGATTATTTCTAAAAACTCCGGCCAAAGTGGAGATTTCTGAAAATGCTGGTTATGTGTTGTCGTGTGAACTCGGAGAAACAACGTTTTAGGTTCTAGCTTGTCGATTCTGAGGATTCTGATTGACTTGCATGGCTTTATCCTTCTCCCTACACTGCCGCCACAACATGACATCATGACTTTTGCGTAAACATACACGACACTTTCGAGTCAAGTGGCGTGTTATCTCTACGCATTTTCAGCTATCCGTGTGTATCTGCGTGAATGCGTGTATGTCTACGCCATTAATGTCCGAGTGATTCCACGTGTCTGTACACGCCGTCAAATGTCGGAGCGAAACTAAGCAAATAGATCTACATCTGGGGAGCGATCTTTTTTTTCCTAGGATGGTAAGGGAAAAAGGCCATCCACTACACAATTTGTTTAGGGGACTCAGAAGCTCTTTTAGTGAGCGATTGGTTCTGCCTCGGTGTTCTAGTGAGCAGATGAGAAGATCTTTTGTCCCAGCAGCAGTCAGATATTTTAATGAACAAATTAAAAGGCCTTTAATAGTGTTAGTGTTTGATTATTTTTGCACTGTGAAATTGAATATTTCTTTTAGTTGTGTCTTATAATCAGGTATTAGTCATTCTTTTAATGCATATTTATTTGTCTGTTAGTTGTGTACTGTGTTTATGGTTGTACGGTTGGTGGCAAACCAGTTTCCCTACCGGGATTAATACATTTTCAATCAAATCAAATCACTTATAAATGCCATTAACCCCAGTGACGGGTAGGTTTAGGGACAGGGTTGAGGTAAGTCATATATTTATATATACAGTAATAACGTTAAGTCAACGGCGTTCATAAACACGCTGAAAAGCGATTATGCGTGTTGATAGCACGGCAAAAATGGAAATATGAATTGGCGTGTCATACACACGCTAGGTTTGGCATAGTTATGATGGCGCTCGACGGCGTATTTATGCGGGTGTGTGAACGATGTTATTTTGGAAAACGGAGAGGGGGAAATATTCGTTTCGCTAAATACCCGGCTTTGTGTAAACGTGGCCTTAACCAACCCGGTCTCATCCCAAGACGTCATATAACTGACGTTTTGGGACGTCTTTTGACCATACGTCAATATTTGCCTTTTTAGGGCCCCCTTAAACGTCGGTAGATGAGGTTATGGGATCCTAACTCTACCCCAGACCTAAACCTAACCCTAAACCTAACCCGTCACCTAACTGACGTTAAAGGTAAAGCGTCAGTTGTATGACGGCCTGGGATCGCCATCTACCGACGTTTAAGCGGGCCCTAAAAAGGCGGATATTGACGTATGGTCAAAAGACGTCCTAAGACGTCAGTTATATGACTTTTTGGGATGAGACTGTGTTACCTTAACCAGCTCCTCTACCACGTAGATGAGCTCATTAATGAAAACACCTGTTCTAGATGTAGAGGCAGATCCAAAAACATGGCAGGATTTTTACTTTCTGGCACCTGGACTATACACGGCTGGTGTCTATACAGTATGTGTGTGTGCTTGACCGTGTGCTTGTGCCACGTGTTTGTTAGTGTGTGTTTGTTAGTGTGTGTGTGTGTGTGTGTGTGCTTAGCCATGAAGATATGATTTGGCAATATCTTCCCACACATCTCTTTTTATTTCAACATGACGTGCTGTTTACATGTTCACATGTCATGCGCTGTGGGGCAGGAATCAACCTGAGCACATCCTCTTGCATTGGCCAGTAGTAATGATTGTGTCCCACTCTGTGCATGCACTTAACATGAACATGTGTCTCACTCACTTCAACAATGGTTCCAGGGTAAACCTCATCGTCATATCTGATGACACACCACTGACCAACAATGTCATCTCTGTCCCACTGTACTTCAAGTTCTGGTTGTTCTTGGTGCAATGCAGGAACAGCTGAGTTGACTTTGACCTGAAAACAAGTTTATATACTTTTATAATATTTATTGCAAAGTATTTTATAGTTACTGTACAATTAGAATATTAAATGAACTCATGAAAACTATAAGAACATGTCATGAATGTCAACTATGTTACTCTTGGTCAACTAAGTTACCTTTGCAGAGTAACATAGGTGACTGGTAACCTATTTGACATTTTTGCTGTTTTTAGGGATAAAGTCAAAATGGTTGCCTAGCACCAGACACCACATGGCATTTTACAGAGAGGTTCTTCTGAATATTATATGCACAACTGAGTAAAATTGAAATTCAAAGTTATTTATGAATTCATTGTAGTAACATTGTTGACATATGATAAGTACACATTTGCCCCAAGCACTACTTTAGGTGAAATAATTGAAAATGTGGAGAGAGAACATACCTTGGAGTCTTCATAGGTTTCTCTTCAGGAGGAAATGACATCATGTGGAGCAGGTCATGTGATTTGGAATACACACTCTTCCTTGAGAGGTGTATTTGCTATGGGTAACTTAGATGACAGTGACTTCTCGGACACATATTCAATTTGTCAATTTCTATTGAAAATGTGACATATTGCCCAAAAAGACACATTGTTCACAATTACCTCAACTTAATGTAAATAATATAATTATAACTGTTTTTGAATAAGTTCTTTAAATGTTTTTTTAGGTAATGAGATTGTGGTTGTAATTCATTTCGGACGGTTATTTAGTTGACATTTTAGGGATATCTAGTAAATTTTTATAAATAAATTATTATTTCCATAAAAATTAACTATGGAATTTGTAAAGACAAGATCATGAAGAACACTGAAGACTTTTAAAATTTTATTTTAGTGAGCATGTTTGCGAGATAAATCTCATGGACATGAAAACTCCCATAATTATATATTGACCCAACTACTGGCTTGGCATGCATAGCACAGCGGTTTTAGTCGTTTCGCAGATCCTTGTAAACGGGGATCGTTTTAACAACGTTGTCGTCTGTATGTGAAAAAAAGCAAAGGAAAAAACGTTTCCGTTTCTAGTACATCATGTAGATGTACCCTAAGGATCTAAAGCAGGGATGTCAAACCCAGTTCCTGGACATCGACAGCACTGCAGAGTTTAGCTTCAACCCTCATTAAATGCACCTGATCCAGCTAATTAAGTCCTTCAGGCTTATTTGAAAGCTACGGGTTTGTGTGTCTGCGCAGGGTTGGAGCTAAACTCTGTAGGACTGTGCTAACCCTCCAGGAGCTGAGCTAGACCTCTGATCTAAAGCAAATTTTCTCATATCGGAGCTCAAATGTTGACATGATACTGTATCGCAGCTCCTTGGAGATTCTCACCTTTTTTTATAACAATTTTGACCTATTGTGGTCAATTATTGCACAAGTTTGAGTCGTGGTGCCCATGAGGCTAAAGCAAGTTTAAGTCTGGCTTGTGATATTCTCAATCATTGCCACGTCAGACGCCGACACACGGCAACAATCACCAGATTACATTGAGTCACTTCTCATACTTTCCACAACCCAACAAACGCAGACTGAACATGTTCAATCAGTGTAAACAAGTGCAGTGCAATGACAACAGGGTCAACGCACTGATTTCACAAAACCTAATGAGCGTATCTGTTGACTTCTGTCGCTGCAATGTCAATTAGCCTTAAAATTAAAAAAAATAATAATAAAAAAATCGTACTTACCGATTTTTCTCCAGCTCATTGTGTGTGGACCTATAAAACAAAACAAGAAACAATGAATGAGCAAACTTCCACTAGTTTGTGTGTCCATGATTACGTGCACTAAAGGTTTTTATCATCGTGAGAGGAAAAAAAAGCGTGGCCGCTCATAAAGAACAAGGCTATGCGTCATTAAAAGTTCCAATGGATTTACTAATTAATCTTTATTGGAGGGTTGCACCAGCTCCCCCATCACAACCAATCCAGTGGCTTCAGAGGGAATTATAAAGGCTCCTCTAGATGACCCACATGTCACTGCAACTCTTTGTTTGACAGAGAAATTAAGTGTGCAGAGCAGAGAAAGTGCGCACAATGACCAGCCTATGTATGCGAGCACGTGAGAGAGCTCTCCTCCTCGTACAATGAGTGAGTGCCAGTGGACGCTCTCTCTCTCTCGCCCTCTCTGAGAGCACGAGTCAGTGTTATGTTAATAATGTAAAGTGAATCAGCCGTCCCCCTAAGAGGCTCTTTGTGTGGCAACACGCTGAAAGCTTTCCCAAAGCACTAAATGGCCGGACAAACTGGTGCATGGCAATGCCGTTGCAGGAGCTGCGGCGAAGGCCTACTTCTCCGTGGGTCATGTGACCACTTTCTTTTATTGGCGACTAATAATACCAACTGGCATCCTGCAGCTGACCTTATGGTATCGCCGCTTCACACGGGAGGATGCTTGTGTGCTCAGTGGGGAGGAGGAATGGAGCGAGGGAGGAAAAGACTTATTAACAGTATGGCTGTGTTTTCACAGCTCTTGATTTTGTGTGATAAGAAAAGTCTGTAAAAACATAGTCAAATATACTGTGTAAATATGAGGAACGTGTTTGAATAACGCACCGCATTGCGCTCTATAAATGTAACGGATAATTGTTATCTTACAGTACTAGTGTATTTGTAATTGTAATTCACAGTATAAGCGTGACGATCTTCGTGACATAATTGTGTGTTGCCCAAGGCAGACAAAACAAACAAAAATGGGGATCCTCCACATGGTTTGAAACGTATTTTTCCACCTGAAGTGGCCTGGATAACTCTCCTCGGGTCAGTCTACCGAATCACCTCCATACATACATGCATGCCAAAGGATCAGATAGTGTTTCCTTTACATTCCCTTCATCACTGTGTGCTTTGTGTACAGTAACACAGGCCTGAGATCAGTCATCAAGATAGACATAAAGTGAAACGAAACAGACTGCACTTAGACAACCTTAAACACAATAACACGCACACAGTGTCTCGAAACCTTGTGTGCTGCTCACCTAGATGGCATTTTTGGTCATCACAAAAACATGATAAAACACCCACAGAAACAAGATATTGTGAGCATCTCGAAACCTAGCGAGCTACCGACCCAGTGGGCATTTTTGGCCACCACAAAACATAGTCAGCTGACTGTTACTGTATTTTCAACTTGTTTTATTGTCATTAAATCGACTTTTAGCGGAAAATGACTGCTGATCGTGTTTTAAAAGGAGAATAACATTTAATAACGAGATGTCGTCACCTTTCAAATGAATTGTGCCTGCTTTGTAGAGAACTGCCAAGCCAGCTGGCATTTTTGGCCACCACAAAACCTAGTCAGATGACTACCTAGATGACATTTTTGGGAATCTCAAAAACTAAGATAACATAGACATATATACTAAGATAACAGATATTTGGCTTCATAGCACCATTTTCGTGATTCAACAAAACGGTCTTTTAATAAACAGCTTAACACGCCTGTTACTGTATAAATGTTAATTTGTTTCCCATTAAATCGACATTTAGCAAAAAATACCAGGTTATAAATTTCCAAAACATGTTTTAGTAGGAGAATGACGTGGAAAGATAACTTAAATGCATTAGCCTATAGTGAACTACCTAGTCATTTTTGATAGATCCTAGTAAGCTGACTACCTAGATTCATTTTGGGCATCTTAAATATCTATCAAACATATACTATCAAGTTGCTGTTTTTGTGTGGTTGTTAACGTACTTGTTTTTGCGTTAGTCGCGTGCACAAACGTTTCTGTTAATTGACGATTAAAGCGAATTACAACTTTTTCGATTTGTTTCTTTCATTAAATCGACATTTATGAGAAAAGTTAGGCGAAAACTTTCCAAAACATTGTTTTAGAAGGAAAATAAAGTGGAAAAATAATTTAATAAAGACACCTCAGGCTGTTCACCTTGGCAGCCTGAAAACAACAGTTGCTGTAAATAAGAGCCGTCGTGTGTTCAAGGGTCTGGGATCAAATTAAAATACTCTTCTTATAATAAATATATACATTCAAAAACGGGTTTGTTTGTTTTTTAAAGGAATATTTAGCGGGTATTAGGCAATTACGGGTTGAAACAAAACTACAAACTCTCGGTTCAAACAAAACGAAACCCCATGACGGCCAAAGGCGAAAATAGGACGTGAGTTTTCGCACGGTCCCTAAGCTCAGCGCTGCAGCACGAGTCCCGTTTGACAATCAGCTGATGACAGCTCCCCTCCCCCAAAACTATACAACAAACATTAATAATAACAATAATAATAATACAGCATGCTTAATAACATATGTATATAGGAAAATACATCAGCCATAATGTATTTAAAAGTGCAGACTGCTTTTAAACGTAGCAAAACCGAAGCAGAAATTGAGACGCGGTTAAAAAGGAAATGCTCCAGAAAATACAGCAGCAATAATTCAAGCAAGGCCGTATATATCATGCATGCAGTGATATGACTGTCCTGACAGATGTCATAGCAGTGTGAGTTATGCACACGTCTCTCATGGCTTTTCTCCAGCAGATTGTATTCTACTTTCTGGTGGAAGTGGAGACATCATGTGTTTACCTGTTGTGGTTATTGTTGCACTTTTTATTTCGGAATTTCCTTTGTCTCTGGTAGCTGCTGGAGTGCTGAATAGACGGAAAGGTCGAGGCATATCCGTGTTCACACTCTGAAAAAGACACCACAGAAACGAGTCACACCACATCCCAATCGGGTCAAGTCCCTTTAAACAACCCCTCACACTTCAAAACACACGTTGATCCGTATGACACGACAGTTGTCATGCAATAAACGTGTTAACCCATCAAATATGTACCTCTTTCTCTCCTTTCTATATATTCGGCTGCTTCCAGTAACGTCTGTATATTCAGCACAGCAGTCATCGTTTGAATAAATCTAGGGATGTTTTTTTCCTGATGTGATCACGATGACAGCTGTCGCGTAGCAAAACCAAGCATTGAAAAATCCTTCGAATATTCACTTTGTATTCTTGTTTCTATTTGCTGAACCGTCGACTCGAGCTATTTCCTTCACTGTTAACAAGCTGGTTTACCGGAAATAAAACACAAATAAACATCCGACGCCTAAATATTAAAGTAGTAAAAGTGCTTTAGGAAAACAGTCGAGTATAAAGTGTATAAAATTATTAGAAACAGGTACAAAAGAGTCCCCGAGAGCCCAGCCAGCGAAGTCCCTGGTGCTTGCGCTCTTTTCTCCTCCCTCAGTTTGTTTACCTACTGTTTTAACAGCTGAGAGGATAGAGACATCAGCGCAGGGCATTATGGGAAATCGAGTCCTTCACCAAACCGGCCCTTTAACTCGCACACGACAGTCGGATTTAAAGTCCTTCTAATACACATTAAACGAATACCCTTGCCTAAAATAGTTAATCCGTCCTTAATATAAGTTCAATAAATAGTATTTCCTACTGGGCACATTTATACGCAAATAAATAACACAGTCTTCCTAATGAATATATAGCATTTTCTAGCAAACACGATACATTTATATTCATTAATATGAAACGTACTATTGTATTCATTATTTTTCAGAATATGCTGTGACTGAAACCCAACATAGCAGTGCAGTCTATGCTAATAACACAATAACTCAAATCAACATTTCATGTATTTAAACTTATTTATTATTATTAATTCCACGGTAAGTAGCCATGCAACAAGCGGGACAATTTCATCTGCGTTATGCGTGTTACATGGTATAATAACGCTTAAAAAAATGACGTTTTAAAGCTCCTTTCCAGTTTGGAAACATCGCACTTCAACTCCCACAAGGCCTCACTTCCAGTCTCGTTTAAGCCAGGCCCAGCAACATATGACATCATAACCCCGCAGCTCTGTGAGTGGCTAGAGGCTCTGCTACGCGTTCGCCAAAGCAACAAGCCCTGACCAATCAGATCAGCGCAAAGTGCGCCATGTGCATGTCATGGGAACACACCCCCCTAGGAAACAGGAAGGCAATTTTGAGAACTATTTTGAAGTAGATATATGCAGTCTACATATGCAATTCCAGATTTACCCCATATGATTCGGGTTCTCTTTAAATCACAATGACTGTTAATCCAAATAAATCTATTGGAGCGAGTTGGTGAAAGCATAATCAATTTCTTTTGTTCCTTAAGGGCTTATTAAACTTCTCATTATACTATTTTAGTTTATATAAAGACACGATTAGTCTTACACATTCAAAATGTATGCTAATAATATAAAAAGTGGGCTGCGAAGATATTTTTCCTACAATTTTCTATCCGCACAAAATGCTCGAACAAAAACAACGTAATATTAACAAATGCCTTAATTTGTACTATTTGCATTTTATGATAGTCTCAATACATACACCAGCAGTGCGTGATGGAGCAGCGCTGTAACACATAGCCTAAGATGTGACGTCAGTGCGAGTATTGTGCCAGCAAATGTTGTTTATTTATTTATTTACTTGTTTATGTTCCTCGAGAGAAAGAGAGAGAGAGGTGGCTAACAGCCTGGCATGTCTCACTGCCGAACAATGCCAGACTCTGAACTGCCCCATATGACAGTGCATGCCAGCTTGGGACAGTCAGCATGCGATTTGGGACATTAAGTGCTGCAGAGGGAATTATTCCCCTGTTTTTGTGTCTATGACGCATGAAATAATGCATGATCATATGAAATCAGACATTATATCACTTTGTGCAGATGAAAGCAGCTCTGAAATCAACCCAAACAATTGAAGTGTCTGCATTAGAGGATTATATGCATTATAAAAATATGTTAAAATATGAAAAGAGCTCTTAGGAAACTTGATCCTTTAAAAGCATCGTGGCTGTGCATCGTATGTCGGGGTACAATGCACATGTTCCTTGTCTACTTGTTCGATGAACTCAATCCTTTGTTGTCTGAGTCTATTGACAATGAAACAGTTTCCCTGCAATACGCAAATCAGTCAAAAATCACTCATAAGTGCACTATTATTTCACTTACTTCCATCTTTTCTCTCGGCGCTCTCAATGTAACTGGCAGCCTCCAGTAAAACTTGTACATTTTTCAAGAAAGTGTTTATCATGGAAGAGTCTGTGGAGTTGAAAACGTCATTGAAAGGACAAGTAGACATCTCAAAATGTTGCTGATCTAAAGATGTTTCGGACTCCAGAAATAAGTCTTCGGCCTTCACCTCCTCTCTTCTTTGCTCTCTCTCACTTCTCACCATTTTGTTCCCGTGCAGCGAATATGGTTGGAATTGAAACTGTATGAGAGTTATTGTGCTGTGCTGCGCTCTCTGGATCCACAGAATAAATGAGGGGAATGTAATGGATGAGGAGATAAAGCACTTCGGCTTCCCGGGTCCTAGCGCCCGCCGCGTGCTCGCCTGTCACGTCCACAGACCCGACCACCCGCGCGATGACGTCATCGACACGGATCCGTGGAAACTACGTGGAAATAGTTTCATACATTATGAAAATGAACACTGAGAGAAACGTTAACAGTTAATTTACTTTTAAGCAAATGCAATGTTCCTACACGGAACCAAAGGTTGCTTTTGTAGGCTACGACACACAAAATAAGACGACGACACACGTTGAATAGTTAAAATTGAAAGATATGCCATTTCATCATTGAGGCCATCTCATTTCATAAAAGCAACCATTTTATTTTAGAGTTGGAAAGAGATTGCAGTAATTAAAGCCTCACAAGATTGATTTTCTGAAATCGGGACGGCCTTCAAAATACTCACATAGCCTTGGACACACTGAGCATTGCTAAGCAACAAAAATAACGCTATGTTACAGGTACGGCACTGATATGGCTCTTACAAATCGAAATTAGTCTATACTGGTTTGAAAAGGAGTCTAGGTTTTGGTCACACCCCATTTAAGAGGGGGTCACTTTTCATCCCATTGACTTCCATTCATATGCAGGAGAGTGGGAACGCAAGGTCATGCAAAGAAGTTTCGCATTACAGAGTACTGTAAACCTCTTATGCCGGTTACACACTGCAGGATTTTCAAAGTCGTCGGATCGCTGTTCTTCTCACACTAAACGTGTCATTCGGTTGCTGCTGTGTGAGCATTTTCGCGACGGATCGGCGACAAAGGTTCAAACATTGCACATTTCAATTGGAAGAATCACAGACAACTCTGTCTGGTCTATAAACTACATTTCACAACCAAACACACGTGAGAAGTGATACAGGAAATAATGTAAGATCACGTGTGAGAGATGTCTTCCTGTCAAACATGGCAGCCTGAAACTGATTTGCAATTGCAGCGGGCAAAAAAAAAAAAAAGAATATGAGGAAGAAATTGGTTGCTTGCAGAATGTTTTGTTGCAGGTCTATGACTCCTCCTCTAGGTCATTGCCAAAGTAGTCAAAACACCACGTTTTCCAGTCAAAACACATTTCAAAATGTCAAGATTATGCGCACACGAGAACTGAACAAGACTCGTGGAAATCTCTTGAACTCTCGTCTCAGGCCCACAAGGAAGAAAAGGAATATTCGAATAAAGCCATTATTTTTGATTGTTTTTTCGCACAAAAAGTATTCTCGTCGCTTGGTAAACTTACTTGAGCCACTGTAGTCACATGGAATATTTAAACATTTTCTTCAATGACTTTCTGGGCCGTCAAGTTTCGATCCCTTAGGCAGCCTATGTAGCAGTGATCCACCTCTCAAATTTAATCAAAAATATCTTCATTTGTGTTCCGAAGACGAACGAAGGTCTTACGGGGTAGTAGAGCACGAGGGTGAGTAATTAATGACTTAATTTTCATTTTTGGGTGAACTATCCTTATAACTAATATTTGACAGTAGAGTGAAACAGGAAAATATTTGCAGCCAACTGTAAGTTAGGATTAGTTCTGTTAAACACAGCTCTTTGTTCATCTCAAGTCTGTTGGAAATGCTGCAACTTAATTGCAAGATTACAGCATGACATAGCAATATTTAAGAACTGGAAAAGAAAGGAGACACTGACCTGTCAAAAGGGTGCTAGTTCGAGCTCGACCGATAAAAGAGACCGAGACTCCCTCTGTCGGGAAAACAGCCACAACATCACCTCCATTCAAACTTCCACTTCTTGGGCGGGCTTCAGTTTGCAAATGCCGGGAACATTTTCCACAACAGCGCAAACTGCATCCTGTGTCTCCATATCCTCGGTTGTTTTCGATTTCCCCAATCTTAAACTCAGCGCTTAGCGTCTACGTCACGGCTTTCAGCCTGCCCTCTGTTCGTTGATTGGGTCGACTGTTTTCAAGCCGGAGGACAACGAAGAGACATGTCGCTGTCTCAGACTGAGAACAGAAGCGAAAATAAATAGAGCGGAAGTACGAAGTCGGATGTAATCAGGCTACAGGCCTGTTCACACCGGGACGAATTTCGCGCACGTTATTCGGCAACGTTTAATGCCTTGTAAACAAAGGGTGCCAACGTGAGTATGCACAACGACATGTAAAACGCCACGCGTAAAAGCGTAATTTAAAAAGAAAACGCCTCGGGTTCGTTTTTTTTAGTTTGACGCGCTGCATCAAAAACTATCCGACCAATGAGATTGCCGCTTTTGCTCACATGTTTGTAGCTTCTGAAGTTACAGTAAAACACAACTTGGGGGCGCTCAAACACAAAACGGTCTGGCCGAGCACACATATGTAACGGCGAAGAAGTTATATGCCAAGTAGCGTCGCCATCTACACAGCCAGGAAGAAATAAGACGAGGAAAATGCAAGGCAAGATGAATGTAGAGCTGCTGGTCTTGTTGGTGCTAGAACATAAAGAACTACATGACAAACGCGTCAGGGACTACAAACATCTTGATAAAAGAAAACTGATATGGAGTGGTATTGCAGAGCAAATTGGCGCCATCTAATGTCAGGGAATGAATTTGCATGTTCACTCAGCTCATCGTCAGCGAAAATCGCTGAAAAACGCTGACGAATAACGCGCGCTGATATTTGTCCCGGTGTGTACGGGCCTTACTAATGTTCACTCAATGTGTTGATGTTAGATAACGAATAGTATCGTATTGTAGTGCTACCACTATATAGGAGATAAAACGTGTTTTATTTGACTTGACTGTACTGTTATTTAATCCAAAACTAAAATCCAATTTTAAAAGGGCCTAGAGCTGCTTTTCTGACGGACTAATATTAATGACATAAATAGGGATGTACCGATACTGTTGCAGTGTCTAAAGAAATGTTGCGTGCTTCAAGTAGCGCTGATCCAGAGCCTTTGAGATACACTTAAAGGTAATATAAAATTCCTCATGATAGCACATTATATTTGAATACCCTCTTCATTCGCACACATACAGACTGACTGGCCTCTCTTATAGGTTATGAGTGATCCTGGCAAAAAGAAACCTTGAAAGGACCAAATCCTGACACATGCCCACACCTCCACTCATGGCTGACAGAAGCCCTGAAACATCATTATCAAGAGTGGAATATGTTTCAAAGGCTCCCTTCGGCATACAGGGAGGGCGGAGTGGGTTGAATTCGCGGTCCGTTCCCTGTGGTCTTTGACTTTTTTAGCGTGGCAGCTTTTTACCA